TAGGACCAGGCACATATATATGCATCGGTTCAAGTTGCCATACCCCATTAACACAACAAGATGGACACCGGATTCATAAAAGTAGTTAATTCAGAGGTGGTAATATATAAAAGAAACATTGCAATAAGGATATAGTACAGTAATAAAGAGTTAGTTCGTAGAAAGGAAGATATGAAGCGGTTTTAACCTCTTAGATTAAGGGAAGACAGAGAGTGTATACACCGACGCCATTGTGATCGATTCTGAGCCATGTCACCAAGAGTCTCCAACCATCGGTTACGATAGTCACGCGGACCCCAACCAAGTAGTCTGCATCTAACAACATGGCTAAGACCAGGAGTTAGTGACTTCAAGCACTGATGCCACATTTTGGTTTGGCCGCCCCTAACTTTCTTCCAACGTTCCCTAACATTAGTCAGCATTGCGCGTCATGGTATTCGGTGTCCAGGCATTCGTAACACGTGGCCCTACCATCTCAATCGATGAAGATTCACAACCTCATCAACTGATTCACCATCATTTCCTAATACCCTGCGTCTAACCTCACTATTACTTACGTGGTGATCCCAGCAGACGCCAGCAATATTTCTGAGGCATCTGTGGTCAAATACTAGTAGCTTACGAGTGTCTTCTACTCTTAATGGCCATGTTTCGTTGCCGTAAATTAAAACATAACGGACTGCCGCGCAGTATACTTGTCCTTTTATTGATAGACGGATATCTCGCCTTCGCCATAGGTGACGTAATTTGGCAAAAGCCAAGCTAGCTTTTCAAATCCGTGCTGAGATTTCGTCAGACACCAACCCATTAGGGCTGATCACACTTCCAAGATAAGTGAAGTTGTCAACGCGTTCGACTACTTCACTCCCTATCTTTAATTCAGGTGTTGACACAGACCAGTCCTGAAGCAACAACTTGCATTTAGATGGAGAGAAGCGCATTCCAAACACTCTGGCATTGTTGCTTAGTGCTACCAAAACACAGCATTTTATCAGCGTCTTCACCAAACAGGACTATGTCATCTGCGTATTCCAAGTCGATAAGTGAACATCCTGGAAGGAGATCAATACCCGATAAGTCAATTATGTCACTAATATATTTAGCTTGGTACTAGTCAGAAAATAATTAGCTTTCTAATATCAACACACTTAAATATGCATATTCGAAAACTAAGATTACAAAACATTGCGCACAGATAAGTAATACTGAACAAATGAAATGCATCAGTACAATGATTTTAGATTGCACTTATGTTATATGTATATACATACCTCATTTTTGATAAATTTTCATATTTCCTTGTAGAAATTAAATTAAGCTACAAACAAACAAGATATCCAATTTCATGACAGTTTGTACTAATGGACAAGTTATATTAGAAGAAAAGTATCAACGCTGCAGATTCACTAAATCAGAAATCGTAAGCTATGCTAAGTGGTTGGGAATTAATCTGAAACGAGAACCAGAATTATATCCCTTAGTATATGAAGGGATCAAAGCCCCGCTTCCGGTTGGTTGGAAACCTTGTATGAATACCAATGGGGATATATACTACTTCAATTTTTTCACAGGTCAGTCTACGTGGGACCATCCTTGTGATGTTTATTATAAGAATATGGTATTAGAATGCAGAAAAAATAAAAGCTGCACGAACGTAACTGATAGAAAGCAAAAGTACTTTAAAAGACCCCTACATAAAAAGTCATGTGGTCCTTGTCATGGCATCAAGCTACTCCACATAGAAACATATAATAAGCCAATCAGCAACCAGACACAGAATAGTGGTACTTCGGGGAGTAATACTACTCATAATCACAATTTAAAGCTTTCGAATGAAAACCCAGTCTTCAAAAACTTAAGTGGGACAGAAAATGAACCTTTAGTTTCCAAACCCAAGCCTTCTGAAAATAACGATGGTCAATTTAGGAAAAACACAGGTGTCCAGTATGAATCAGCATGTGAACTGCAAGCAATACGAATCAAGAAGAATACAGAATTGGCACTAGTTAGTCAAGTTGATGAAAACCTCCTGAATTTTTCATTATTAAGTAATTCTGAAGACTTAACTAATAGTATAAGATCCAAAACACCAAATGTGACTAAATCGTATGGATTTTCTGAAAAATTGCAAAATGAAAAAAACTCAAACAACTGCTGTAAAATAAAAATCAAACAGAGTACGTCAACAGGTTACTCGGTATACGGACGATCGGAAGAATCAATGAATAATAAAAATACCGGCGATTGTGATAGCGATAGTTCAGTCCATAAGCATCTTCAAACCAAAACAGGATCAGAGTGTATGACAAAATTATTAAAGAAAATGGAACAAAATCATGAGGAAGTACTAGAAGCAAGTTACAAATTATGTTCAATGCAAAATGAATTAGTTAACTGGTGTAACGAAATCGAAAAACGCCTATATGATATTGATAGCAGATATAAGATCACTTTTTGCAGGGATAGAGCGTTAATGGGAAATAATAATCTACGCATATTTTTAGAACCGCGTGAAATTAATCAACAGGATTACGTGACTACTAGTTTATATAATAAAGCTACATTTAATGAATATCCTTCATACAATTCTAATTTGTCGGTTAATACAAAAAATAAACGACCACATTCTAGTGATGATTATCTATTGAGTGAAAAACACACCTGTACAGAGACAAAAACAAAAGCCATAAGTACAAACTCTTTAGTATTTAAAACAAACCACGTTGAAAACTTGGTTCCCATCAGTAATTCTATATCACAAAACCTATTGAAACACTTATCAATAGTCGACATATCCAGATCAGGATATACTGTCACAAATTGGAACAGGATATCAAGTGACTGGAATACAGTTAGAACAAAACTATACCATGGGAAGTCTCTTTATTCACCAAGAAACCTCTCAAAAAGCATGATAAGTCAACAGCTTGAAGATTATTCAAGATGGTTAGAACAAGCTGAAGCGTACATGAAAACTTTACAGTCCGTCTGAATATTAAAATATCAGCGTAATTTCACTTGGATTGTGTACAACGATGTTAACTTTGCCACAAAATCCCAAAAACAGTAATACAGACAATAAGACCGGCATTTTGAATATCAAGTGCTTCGAGAAAATTACAGGTGGATTCAGATGTTTAATTAAATGTTTAATAAACCCATTGTAAAATATCTAGTTTGTTTTTAAACATTCCCCATAAATTTCTTCGACACGCCATTGCACAAATCTACCCCTAGGTAGCCAGTGATCTGCAGTAATGACCAGATATTTAGTTTATTCCCAATAAGTGACCAGACCGAGATATTGTAAAACAGTCGATCTAACACAACCTGCTGAATTGGAAATAAGAATGCGATGCTAGTTCTTATGCATGTTGACGTTTATTAACAAGGCATATGTGCAATCCCAAATGTATTCACTGTTTCGTTGGAGACTTTCATTAAGGGCGATATTTCAATTTTACGCCAGTGTAATCTGAAATAATTAGAAACCCTTCTTGACATTAGACAACCATTACAAAGTTCCGTGTGGTTTAATATACAGTCACACTTTTTATTTTGGAGGTAGCTTAGATGTAACTAATTACATTCACAATATCTAGGTTATTGTTCGATTAATAGGCACAATCAAAACTTACCTACTCCATCCATAAAACACTAAGCTTCATATGATAATTAGAAGTATGTGAATTACTATACGAACTAGAAATCCCAGAAATAACGCAATTTAGACCAAGAAGAACTAGGTGAGCACAAACGAACGCATTGTATTTGGAATTCGAAATCATGTAGTTATCAAGTACAAAGGAGTCATTAGTCCATACAAGCACTACATCTCAGCTTCGAGAGAGAAGTTCAGAATGATTAAACCTGAAACATACTGCATTTACGACCAATTTAAAATATAACCTCTGGATGGTTATAAAAATGAAAATATAGAGATCAAGGTCAGGGCGAATCCCGTAGTACAAGTAACAAATGAATCAGTGATAATAAAAAAGATTAGAGATCGAAGATACGATTTTAGAATATATATACTTATGAGACAAAAAAGAACTATTAGAAATTTAGGAACTTACGATACAAGAGAAGACAAATAGTGAATGCATCTGCGTTATTACAAACGATTTCGAGCCATGTCACTCAAAGACATTAACAAGTGGTTACGATAAACACATAGACTCCAATCAGACAGTTTGTACCTACCTACATATCTCAGTCCAACAATCAGTGACTTCATGTACTAATGTCATATCCTTTATGGCCTCCATCTAGTTACTACGTTACGTCATTGGTTTCTATTATGTCCTCTGACACGTCAAATATCACGTGACAAAATCCCTAATCGGGATACCGACTTCTATGGCCTAGTCCCTGTGCTAAACCAATGGTGCGTTAAACAACATCAGCGGCCTTGATTCAACTCTCAGACTATTAATACTCTGTATAGCAGCTTCTCGCCCAGCCCAGAACATAAATATAATCCTCCGCTATATAAATCGTATAATTCAGATATACGCTGTTTATGTACAAGCAGACGAGATCGCATCACACTGTAAAATGAAAAATAATCATGATGAAAGATCAAGTCAGAAGTAGCTGAGTATAGCAGGTTGTAAACTTATAGATTAGGAATAAATTAGGGAAAGTAAATCGTATAACAGCATCCAATGGATCAAATGAAAATTTATGATAAAATGAATGTAGACTTATACGATTTAGTTACTTAGCAATTGTACGATAAGAATATATATACAACAACAAGTTATAAATAACTCCTGGAAGTTACAACTCATTTATTCTTTATTCGGACATAACGGTTTGGCTTTACCGATATTTTCTGAGAGACTTTCAAGGCAATAAAAAAGCACCAATTTTCTGGTTTTAAAAATAAAAGTTCATCTAATTTTTTTGAGATAACTAGTAATTGATATTTACACATTAGTGAAAGAAAATCACGTTCTTATTAATTCTATATTTCAAAAATAAAAGTCAGGAGTTTGCATATTAGATTCTGTATTAAAATAAACTATACAAATGTATGAGGTAGCAATGAACATATCGTGTCAATATATTACAATGCTGATTCATTGATCCAACCTTTCTGCCACTGCCAAGTTTACTAAGAGATAACTAGCAATAGACTGAAATTTATCACGCAAAGTCCATACATCATCCAAGCGACCACGTGAAGGTAAATCCAGTTGAGATTGATCACATTTTGACCGATGTCTTACTGCAAGTTGTTTAAGCAAAGAGCGAAAATGTCGGGGTGTAATACTTCTATTTACAACAGTAGCGTTATTTCGAATATTTACTGTAGCACAATCATTGTTCTCATTCAGAATAGATTTAAAATGTATTGCTAAATATTCACTTGTAACAGTATTCGAACTAGCAAGTGTTCGAATAAGTTCAGCACAAAGACGCTGCATTGAATGATTTAACACAGGATCAACTGATTCGGTACTAGATGAACTGTGTAAATGATTATGACGAATGATTTTACGCGAACGTATAAGACTTAAAAGTAATTCTGAACTAAATCTAACATGTAAATTAGCTGAATTTTCATTATAAGCTTTTTTAGTTGAACATTCAAAACCACTTGATGCTTGTAAAAGTTGAATCTAAAAATTAAAATAAATAAATTTACTTGAAAATCGTATAAATCAAAATCTATACAAATGTAAATAATCGAATATTCACTTCAAATTTCACGGTTGAATGATCTATGGATTACTGTAAACTTCCAACTTAAATCTGCTTACCTTAATTTGTGTTTCTACGGAATTGAACCTCTTCAACTGGGCAATACTAACGTATTATTGTGAATTTACTACAACATATTCATCGTAAAAAGTCACTTTTGGGGTATATTGTTTGTTTTTTCTATAAAAAAATCACTCCACAATTATTAAAATTTAGTTTAATTTTAAATCATTACTTTGTTATTTTGAACTTTTCGATACGATCTAGATCTGATAGCCTAACACACGTCATTTATTAGGCATAATTCAAAATAAAACTAGGAAAAATCTTCCAAATATATATAAGCTTTCCACTATTATTGTCTTCGTTTAAACAGTGTAATTTAACGTTTAGTTGAGATAGAATTGAAATATTAACGATACATTGAGACTGAACGACGTACAATTGAAGCATGGTAAACAATAATTAATTTCTAAACATGTCTCGATTGATTAAGAAATCTGTAAACAGTCGATGAATTTATATATCACTGTAAAATTTCACATATACGAATAGTCATATCAAATTAAAATGATTTGAAAATTTTCAATTGGATGTTTACTCAACTAAACCAACAGAAAAACATTTATTCTTTTAGTAAAATTTCGCAACCTATTTTAATAAAAGTACAGTTATAGGTATCATTACCAAGGTTTGATTTGATAATTTCGTATAAATTGAGCATCGGGTTGATTGTTATAAATAAAAATAGTATATTTGTAATATCCCAATGAGTAGAAAATTAGATTTTCTGACGTTTCGTGACTTAGTGTAAGTCACTTCTTCAAAGAATAAACAACTAAATTAAAATTAATCCAAGTTTAAATAGTACAACGGAACAATGCAAGAATAATTATATGTGAAAATTATATTTGAAATATTCTCAGCGATTGAAATTTAACTAATTCCAACATTTCGTCCAGCTAACTTATCTGGACTTCTTCAGGGTAATAATCAAAATCAAAATTATCAAAGAAATATATAGCTTTTAACAATCAGGATTATACTGTGTTAAACCAATCATATATGGATGTTGATTTTTTGTAAAATAGGATAAAATGATTCAGTTAACTAGAAATCATGTGAAGAAATCAACTACATGGAAATACTTAACTGAGTAACAAATTGTATGTGTGTGAGTGTGCAGGTATGTATGTATGTGTGAGAGATTGATATGAAGGAATAAATAAAGTTCAAGTTCAAGGATGAAAAATTGATAATGAAACATCGATGTAAATGTCAAAACATAAATTGTATTTGGTTGAGATCATGAGTCAATTGATGTTAGACCACCGTTGGAAACCTGGAAGCACTGGACGGCTGTTTCGTCCTAGTATGGGACTCCTCAGCAGTGCGCATCCACGATCCCGCACCCCGCGGGATTCGAACCCAGGACCTACTGGCTTCGCGCCTGAGCACTTAACCATTAGACCACTAGGCCGGCATCCAATGGTGTTAGTGTCTAACATCAACCAATCCACGAAATTGCGCGACCAACTTCCATTGTACTGAGGTAGATACCTGTCTCTACCCGACACGGATTAGCTCCACTGGTCACGACTTCTCACTAGAACCCCCATACTGATAATTAACACGTGCTCACTAGTGACTAGCTTCGTGAGGGAATTCTAGGAGTTCTAGTGAGAAGTCGTGAATTACATGAAGTCACGAAACGTCAGAAAATCTAATTTTCTACTCATTGCGATATTACAAATATATTATTTTTATTTAAAAGTACAGTTAATTACATAATAGTATATATATATATATATATATATATATATATATATATATATTTATTTATTTATTTATTTATTTATTTATTTTTATTCCATAACTATATATATCTACTCAATGTATCAGAATTTTCTATCATTATCGAAGCGTTTAGTTTGTTTGGTGGAATGAAAACATGAGTTAATAAAATTGACAATTTACCTATTACTATGACCTAAATTGAAAATAAAAACAATTTTTTTAATTCTACACTAATTATTAGCCACAAGTTATAAAATAATAAATAAAGAGAGAAGTTTAAATAACCTAGATTAAAGCGCCAATCTGAATTCTTAGTTTTTAATTATAAGAAACAAGAATAATTAAATGTATCAAATATTCATTACTGTGAACTTACATAACCACAACTAGTTAATTCATTTCTATTCCAAAGGAAACGATTTTTAGCCTGACCAAAAGGATAAAATACTAATCTACGTTGAGTTATTTCTGTAGTTTGAGAAAAAGATCCGATATTATATTGCTGCCAACGCTTGACTTCTTCTTCTAAAGCACTAATAGCTTTATTTGCTAATCGATTCACGGCCAATTGGTCAAATGAAGAATCAATGTGATTTGGATTAGTCATTTCATCCAATAATTTATCATGATGTACTATTTGAGTTATTTGACGAAATATCGGTGAGCTGCTTGCGGACACTTTTTGTGTGAATTTTAATGATTTACGGGAAGGAAGTGAATGGGAATCTTGATGAGCTGTACATTTAATTTTTGAAGAGTTTTCATTTTTTGCCTTTTCGACATCATCTAGTGGGTATAAAAGGAATATCATGAGACAGATAGTAACGGCTTTTATAGTACAGTGAACAAGTGAGAAAAGTATTGAGGCAAACCGGTCAGCCAAGGACAATACACAGTCTGGTACAAGTTCGCATACGTCTAATTTACCACAATGAGGTAAATCAGTTGATGGATTTGTAAACATATCAATGAAGGTGACTGTAACATAGTCTGTCATTCTCCTATAATACGCTGGAAGAAATTGTACGATGAAAAATCAAAATTAGCACTAGTTTATGAACTCTCTTGATTGCTTTCTTCCTATTAGTTGCTTTTGAGGCAAATGAAATTACTGATGGGAGATCCCGGGTCTTTTGACCTTTATAGTATTGCAAATATTGTACTAATCCATACCTTTTGTCCAAAGTCTTAATCTTGATACCTGACCATTATTTCTTTAGTTATTTACACCTTTTTATTTTTCCTATATTTTTACCTCCAATTTTTATTTATTCATTTTATGTAAGATTATTGCTCAGTTTTAACTTACTTTTTTTTCTTGTATCAATTAACATACAACCTAATGTGTTACAACAGAACAATAACAATTCGTCTCTTCGATAAATTTACATAATCCAATGAAAAGACAAAATGTAATATATTAGTGCAATATACACTGCAAATAATTTGATTGAATGTTTCGTTGTTAAGACATTAATATATATGAAAATCGGAAGTCAACTTGAAGGATAAGAAAAAATAAAGGTAATGTGAAAATCATATGAATCGCCATTCTGGATAATAAGTTAATATTATCAGAGTAGGTTTAGTGTAACTGCAACACCCTCAATCTACATGTGCGGCCACACATATGTGAGGAGTCGTGATTTCCAAGTTAAGGCGTGTCTAAACATGTACCAAAATGGCCACAGGCTAAAATAAAATCAAATGGTTCAATAAGGGCAGATGACAAAAACACTCATCTTCCACTGTCGCTAAACACATAGTTGAAACAGGTCATAGAAGTGTCTTAACTTTTTGGGTTGTTCCGGCGTGAACATTAATTTTGGGGTCCAGGTCCATCCAGCTGACGAAATGTGCGACCTGAATTATACAACTAGATCCTTTCCAACTCCACTTAAAATACCCATCCTTCCTCCTGATAATTAGCAGTAACAGATTAGTAAGCTCCAGCGAAGTGGCTTTCAACTTGGTAACGGACAGAGAATGTGCTGCTAACTATACTGTTTTTGGTAGCGTTTCAGTAGCTTGAAGTATTAAAGAACCCTCTCAGAGAATTCGAAAGGCCAAATATTGGTATTTTACGGCTAGTGATTTTCATTTTCACAAGAATAAAAAAAGCCATATAAAATTAGTATGCTAGAAAAACGGTATCAGAGCGCTAATACATCATACATTTACGATATATTCCGTTTTTCATTGCATTATAGAAAGACAATTAAGTCATAAAAGTAAAAAATTAACGAAACGAGTAGGTTAATGTAACTGAGAGTAATGTGAATACTACTTATTACAGATAGATTTACACAAAATAAAGTGGAATAACAAACGAGAAAATTCAGGAACCTTGAATAAACCATAGACACTGTATTATATTATTTTGATACTGTGTTCAATTATACGTAAAGCCTCTCAAAGGTGAAATTCTTACCATTGATACTAACATACAATATTTCCTATAACAATGTTAGTTATTTTATTTCACAGGAAATCATTTGCTAATATTTAAGAGCTATAATAATTTTATAGATATCGGTAGAATAACCATTCAATTTCAGTTCTGATGAAAACTTTTCATGAACAAGGACTATTTACCTGTCTTAATAATGGAATTAGAGTAATAAATCCAGAAAGCGCATGACATGAATGAAGTTTAATAACCATTGTGTCTAGACAAGTCAGTCAGTCAGCTACAACGTAGGACCAGGCACATATATATGCATCGGTTCAAGTTGCCATACCCCATTAACACAACAAGATGGACACCGGATTCATAAAAGTAGTTAATTCAGAGGTGGTAATATATAAAAGAAACATTGCAATAAGGATATAGTACAGTAATAAAGAGTTAGTTCGTAGAAAGGAAGATATGAAGCGGTTTTAACCTCTTAGATTAAGGGAAGACAGAGAGTGTATACACCGACGCCATTGTGATCGATTCTGAGCCATGTCACCAAGAGTCTCCAACCATCGGTTACGATAGTCACGCGGACCCCAACCAAGTAGTCTGCATCTAACAACATGGCTAAGACCAGGAGTTAGTGACTTCAAGCACTGATGCCACATTTTGGTTTGGCCGCCCCTAACTTTCTTCCAACGTTCCCTAACATTAGTCAGCATTGCGCGTCATGGTATTCGGTGTCCAGGCATTCGTAACACGTGGCCCTACCATCTCAATCGATGAAGATTCACAACCTCATCAACTGATTCACCATCATTTCCTAATACCCTGCGTCTAACCTCACTATTACTTACGTGGTGATCCCAGCAGACGCCAGCAATATTTCTGAGGCATCTGTGGTCAAATACTAGTAGCTTACGAGTGTCTTCTACTCTTAATGGCCATGTTTCGTTGCCGTAAATTAAAACATAACGGACTGCCGCGCAGTATACTTGTCCTTTTATTGATAGACGGATATCTCGCCTTCGCCATAGGTGACGTAATTTGGCAAAAGCCAAGCTAGCTTTTCAAATCCGTGCTGAGATTTCGTCAGACACCAACCCATTAGGGCTGATCACACTTCCAAGATAAGTGAAGTTGTCAACGCGTTCGACCACTTCACTTTCTCTATCCATAGTTCAGGTAATGACGCAGGCCAGTGTTGAAGCAACAATTTGCATTTAGAAGGGGAGAAACGCATCCCAAACATTCTCGAATCGTTGATCAGTGTTACCAAAAGACCCTACACTTTAATAGCGTCTTCACCAAACAGGACTATGTCATCTGCGTATTCTAAGTCGATAAGTGGACATCCTGGAAGGAGATCAATACCCGAAAATGTTATTTCCATCAATAGGCCTATGATGAAGTTGAACAAAAATGGAGAAAGTGGACAGCCTTGACAGACACCACTTGAGGTTGCAAAAGCAGATGGTGTTCGCCGTAAGCTCTCACTCGACTGGTAGTGCTCGAGTAGAGAGCCTTCACAAGGTTTATGTGCTTCTGATGTACGCCTTTCAATGACAGACACTGCCACAGAATCTCGCGGTCTACCGAGTCAAATGCTGCTTTTAAGTCAAGAAAGACCACCATTGTCGGACGCAGATAAGTATGTCTATGTTCTAGAACCTGACGAATGGTGAATATGTGGTCGATGCAGCCATGACCGGGTATGAAGCCAGCTTGATTCTCTCGTGTTTGCAGTTCACGAGTTTTAGTTAGGCGTCCGATAATTACTGAGGCTAGTACTTTAGATACTATATTAATCAAACTAATCCCCTTATGGTTATCATAAGATGATTTTGATCCTTTTTTATATATTGGGACGATCAGTGATTGCGATCAGTCAGATAGGACTACATTCAATTCCCAGATTTTAGCTAGAATATTAATCAACCTAATCGCTAAAACTGGACCACCATCCTTAAAGACCTCTGAAGCCAATCATTTTGCATAAGCTGCTCTTCCTCGTTACAGACTAACTATAGCTATTTGAACTTCTGCTGGATTTGGAGGACCTACTTCAATGTCCTATTTACACTGTCTGAGAATGGTGGGTAGTTGTAGAGTAGTTGAAGGTCAACCGAACTGTTCTCTGAAATTTTCCGCTCGTCGTTCCAAACGTCAGGACTGAGAGCAGATGAGAGTATCGTCTTTTTTCGAAATAGTCTGACTTACGCTTGACTTATTAATTCCAGTTTCTTTTATTAGTCTGTAGAGCTGTCTCGTGTTCCCTAAAACTGCCGCCTTTTCCATCTCTTTTGCTTTTGTTGCCCACCACTGCTCACGGTCGTTCCTTAGACTTTTGGTTAACCTAGATCTGATTGGTTGTCGCTCTTCATCGTGTTCAGAGCCTGATGGGATGAGTTTACGAGAATCCATCAGTGCAATAGACCTTGAAGAAATCCATTGGTTCTTTGTAACCCTGTGGTTTAAATCACTGATAGATGTCACTGCTGTCTCCACAGCTGTTTGCATATCTTTCTAAGCAACATCTGGGTCAGCCTCGTTTTCAGAACTACCTAAGTGTGACCTCAGTTGTTCCTGGAATCTACTTTTGGTTTTCTCGCTACTCAATTCAGTTCTAATTGGTCTTTTTACTCAGGGCTTTTTGCGTCCAGTGAGGTTCAAGCAGATGCGTGTCCGTATTAGAAATTAGTCGGAGTCCAAGCAGGTACTCCAGAATGAGCGACAATCTTCTACTGACCCTCTCCAACGATAACTGATGGCAATATGGTCTATTTGAGTCTATCGTTGATTTGGTGTAGGGGGTCGCCATGTTAGACGATGTCTCTTCTTATGCTCAAAATTTGTGTTTGCTAAAAATGAACGATCGTCTGAGCACAGTTGCAGCAGACGATCATTATTATCGGTTCGTTGTGCCAGAATACTAAAATACCCACCCCTGAATGTCTTTCTGTTTGGTTTAAACAACCTATCTGGGCATTAAAGTCACCTGCTACGAGTACTATGTCTGAACGTTTAGCTTTCTGAAGAAGTTCAGATAGCTTTCTGTAAAATTCATCTTTCATTTCATCTGAGCTGCAGTCGGTGGGAGCGTAGGTAGAAACGACAAAAAGGCAATGACGTGCGTCCCTATCCTTCCGAGTTCTTACGGAGCCGTTTAGCCGAACAGCACATAGACGACTGTTGACGGGGATCCACTCTAACAATGCTTGTTCCGCCCTCATGCTTAGTGCTATCCCTACTACTGCCAGTCCACGAGAGCTGGCCGTCGGGTCACCAGATACACGGAGGGTGTATCTCGTTGGCTCTCCGTTTTGCCGAGGTGAGGTCAAGTGAATGACCACAATGGGATCCTGTATGCGTGTTTCAGAAACACAGCATACATCAATGGTACGAGATTCTAGGGTTTTAGCCAAGGAAGCCTGTTGACCGATTTGACATAGGGTTCGTACGTTGAAGGCTCCAATGTGTAGTTTGGAGCGAGGTTTCAGTAGACCTGGGACAGAGTTTTGAGCACTAGAATCGTTGGCTATGGTGACACTTGAGGGGAAAGCTGAAAAAAGAAGTTTAGAGTTGGAAGTTGATGTAGGAGGAATAATAGGAATTGAAGAGGGAGGTTGATTAGGAATACAATGGTCTTGAGTGCTGTTAGATGTATGAGGGAGGTTATTACTTCCTGGTTGCCCACACCGTGGAAGGGGTTTTCTGGAGGTACATGAAAGAAATTGGATTAGAGGTGGTCTTAGTGACCTGGGAGCGTGACCGCAGTGCCCAAGGGACAAGTGCTTGAGGTCGGTCACGCACGACCTTTTTATGGGTAATTTTTGTGTTAGCTCCGTACTTATTGAAACCTTACCGCCGAGGACGGAAATCCATGGGATAAGGCGAGGTATGTATTCTTAGGGTCGACCGTTTCTAACCACACCCCTCTTTGTGGAAAGGCAACATCACTGTTATGCTGGTTGTCTGATGGAAACATCTTACTGCCGTCACAACTCTGTACAGTCAGCAGTACGACTTCGCGTTCGGACATTGGATTTGTTGCTTTTAGTCTTACTGCTCTTCAACCGATCTGTCTGACATGGTAGGACCTTGAGGAACGGTTGTTCCAGCCAGTATAGCTCGGTTGCTTCATCACGACAGGCAAGCCCGACCACCACGTCAAGGTAGCAACAACGGTCGAGGTGTCTAAACATAATGTGGCCTATAAACTAAGGCACTTCATTTTACAGATTATTGTTGAAAAACTCAAGGAAACGTGAATTGGTAGTAATCAACATCTCAGAGTATATGTCTTATGTCAAATTTTCAGATTTCTAACCTTGATTCACAGATAAGAAAAGAACACCTACCTTTATTTTTTTGAAATGACTCTTTATATTTCATTTCATTGGATTTGTGAAATTTCTGAATATTTTTTAGAGCTTCTTTTGCAACTCGACTTGCTTCATCACGCGTATCTTGATCTACCATTGATCGCTTCTCCTTAAAGGAAGAAACCGTAGAGTAGTCTTGTTTATTAATGGATAAGTAATTGCTACTGAAACAAGAACTGGCTAAGACACTTTGAATAAAGTTATCATTTTCAGCATTACTGCTTGTCGCTTTGACTGATTCAGCAAGTTGGTTTCGAGATAAAGAGATATCCATGCCTTCACCAACATCATATCTACACTGTTTTGCTACTAGTTTGATTCTTTTTCCATCCACCCGTATCCCTCTGGTATCAGATTTACGTTTGCGATTTAAACTATGTTTGTTTGAAGTCATTTCTTTAGACTGCTTAGTAACCGATTCAACTGGATTATCTTTGTTTGAACATTCTTCCGCTATACGACGGCTTATTTCTTTAGCAAGTTGACGAAGTTGTTCTGTACGCTTATTTTTCGCATCAGGACTTAACAAAGTGTTGATAAAATTGTCATCCACAGAAACCTTCGATTCTTTTTCACCTTCATCCTCTTCCTTCTCATCATCATCTTCAACATCACTACCACTAATAATCTCTGTATTCACGTGTGATGATTTGCTTTGCAATGGATTATCTTTCAGTTTTTTAGCAAGTATATCAAATCGATTCTCGGTTAATGAATTAGTCAGTGTATGACCCATACCTTCCGATTTCAAGTACAAAGCTGTTTCTGGGATTTGTATATCTGATTCATCTTCAAAAGTTAATAATTCTTGAAGGTCGTTTGTTTTAAAAAATCGCTGCTGACGTGGATTTTTGAGAATTCGATTAGTAAGAAATTGTTTGAATATTTGTCTATTTAAATTAAGAAAATTAACGGAAGAAATCCAGCAACATTACAAATAATTTGTAAATTAATTAATTAGTCAAAACATAACACAAAAAAACTATTGATGAAATACCCAAATGGACTCAGATTACGAGTTAAGGATGCATAAATGACAGACTATGATGAACAATTCATTTAATGTAGTAAAAACGTAGCCATTTTTGTGAAAACAAAACTATGACAAAAAATATCGATTAGCATGACAGTGAATATTTTCCAATAAACACAAAACCTAAAACGTATATATTAGTGTAGACAGAACCTAATGCATGAAAATTTCAAAAATTTCAAGTCCTCACACTAAACACAACAGAATAAGAAACGATCAACAACAATTATAAGATAAGAAACTATAAGGAAGAGAAAGTAGAAAGAAGTTCACCTATATGATCCAAACCAATAATCAGCCATTACATAGACTAATGCGGTAGACTTTCCAAGACTATTCATTTAAATTATACAATATGTAACTATTACAATAAATTAGGGAGTCGTGTTAGACAAATGAAAAATACGATACGACAAGCAGAGATGGATGGTGGCTAGCAGTGGAATCCAAGAAGCATGTTTCGGCCGATTCGCGACTCGTTAGCTGGATGTACCTGCTGGTGTCTATCAGGACTAAGTAGCTAAGTGGATAACGCGACGGCGTTTGAAGTGAACGGTACAAGTTTCGAGTCCTGGAGTAAACATCGACTCTGGGATGCAGGTACATTCAACTAGCGAGTCCCGGATTCCACTGCGAGCAACTATCCCTTTCTACTTATAATGCTTGTGACTGAAGGCAATATCGAGGCAATCCGCACAGGATGCACATATGCCAATAAGAGGCTGATCCAATCGCAGTCCTAAACATCAATAGGAAGGTCCAAATAATCAACACAAAAAATGAATCATGATACAAGCTTGAAGTGAATATGTAACTTTATCACATACTTTTAGACATCTCTGTCAACAGAAATTTTACTGGATATTAAAAGCACAACAGAGTATACTGTAAAGCATAATATGTTTTTAAATATAACAAGTAATCGGTTTTAACTTTTAATAATCGTAAAATTGCAAAGCTATCGAAATAATTATATGGAATTAAAGCTTTTCTGATAATGTTTAAAACTAATAACTATCCAGCTTTAAATATGTAGTTTTGTCTACTAAACCAAAAACAACATACACCTCTGCTATACAAGTACTCGGAATAGCCATAAGGTCGTAGCTGAACATAGTTGACAAGAAACATTGGACCCAGGTTTCATGCCGTTTGGTACTTGTCAGCAAGGTGCTCCCTGGAATATTAAATCCCATATCACCCAGCTTCACAGTAACAGATGTTATGTATATAAAATTGATTGATCACTGGGTGGTGATCAATGTTACTTATGTCAGATCCTTCTTAATGTGTATTCTATCTCAAAGTTGCAATGTGACCACTAACCTTTACGACACAAAATCTCGCGCACCAAGTGGTTGGAGGTAGTATTGAGGGAACTGAAGCTATAACTAATGGGCTGTCCAATGCAAGCACAATCAAAAACGATAACTCAACGTTAAACTTACGATGATAAACTTAAAATATTATTTTACATACTTCAACATAACAGTATGATAGGAGTTACCTATGATATATTTTTTCTTCAATAGTACCGCTTGTTAATAAACGATAAATAACAACATCTCTTGATTGTCCGATACGCCATGCTCTTTCACGAGCTTGTAGATCAGTAGTAGGATTCCAATCTGGGTCATAGATAAGTACTCGATTAGCTGAAGTTAAATTTACACCTAAACCGCCAACACGTGTAGTTAATAAAAATAGAAATATGTCTAACTGATCTGATGTCCTATCTATTTTCTCACTATCCGATGTTGAACGATAATTGAAACGTCGAATGAGTTCATGACGTTGGCTAACAGGAGTTGTTCCATCCATTCTAAGATAAGAAAACTTCATCAACTGTACTAAACGTTCAAGTAATGTAAGCATCTGATCAAAAAACAAGGTATAGGCGAGAAAATGTACTTTAGATGACTGATAAAAAGCATGCTGAAAAATGAAACTTATGAATAGAAACAAAAACAAATCATCAATTATATACGAGACAGAAAACCAATAAGACAGACATATTGTATAGGGCAAATGTGAATTAAATCTACATTCCCAGCTTTTCCGAAAAATATACGAAGTGTAAGAAAATTATATCTACAATTCATTCGGACTTTTGTAAGCAAGTATTATTGGATTGACAAACAATGCCTAACTAGAATGAAGGAATTTAGATGATTTCCAAGATTTAGAATAGGAGGAAAGGTTGAATAAATTTAACTTACAGTTTTTACTATGTTTATCGAAAAGAGACTCAGCAATACAAAGGGTACAGACGAACTGTTTATTAAATCGAATGAGACAACATCGATAAAAAAAAGTCGGTCTATTTCAATCATGAATTCACTGTTATAATTTTTAGTAAAAATCCAGATCATATCTACCAATACACGAAAAAACCAAGAAAAATTGACTTGGAGCGTTAAGATTCCCTGTTAGAAACTAAGAATCACTTGGTTTGGTTGATTGAATTTTCAAGCCAAATAGAGACTGTTGGTGTTATTGTTTAATATTTAGGGTGACTGAATAGAGATTTCGTAGAAACTTAGATGAACATATAGCATTTAATAATCATCAATTAAACGGATTATGTATGTTTTCATCAACAAACTGTGTTGATATTTAGTAAACATTTTCAATTTGCTGATTGTCAAACACTAAAACTGACAGATGAACTAAATTTAATGTGATTCAAATGCGATTATTATTCTACATCTGCCAAGAATTCATTCAAATTCAAGTAAATTGAACAGAATAATCTAATATACAAGAGACCAGACTATTCTCATATTCATTAGATGATAAGTAACACTTCAGTAAAAACAATATGGATAAGTTTGATCCCAAATGACGTGCGATTTATTTCAAATTTATTGATTACTTGGGGAAAATTTGATAGTGGCTATTAATAAAATGCAGGACCCGCATTTCGTTCTATTTGGGACCCGTCAGCTGGATAATTATTGTTTAATATATATGAATATCACATTAAATGTATGCTGTTGTCAAGTTTACTTTTTAAAAGAAAACCAACTTACACGACGACTTTGTGAAAACAGTAGAACTTTATGTCCTTGATCATACCAGTTTTTAAGAAGTGAAGCAACAACTAACATTTTACTAGATCTACGTGGGCAACCAAATCTTGACCATGAATAAGATAAGCATACATTTTCAATACCTTGTTTATCAGACTCAAACTCTTCATTTAGAAAACAACTATCTCTTGGACCACCTGTAGCTAAATCTGGATGGTTGCATAAATTTCTTAATAATATTAAAGAAGGAAAAATCTAAAAATGAAAAAGTAAAAAATAAACGTATATTAGAGATTAAATATAAAAAGGATTGGTTCAGAGAAAAGTTCTCTTTCCGGCAAATTCATTTTCAAAGCAGTACAATAGCAAATATATATACCTATTTTTTTCAAAATGATAATAATTACAATAATAGTGATAATGAAATTCTGCTAAACGTGGTAACAGTGAAGTAGAATAAATAAGAGCATAAAAATGTTCTTTTAACTAAAGAAATTAATAATAATTTTAAATCACTTTTGTATTTGTTGCTTGAATCTTCCGATTGATGTTTAGGACTGTAATAGGATGATTCAAACAAACAATACAAAATGAATTTACACTTCACTCCATTGCAAAAACTAGTGGCTATCAGGATTATGTACCTAAGTGGATAACGCGAAGGCGTTTGGAGCGAACTGTACAGGTTTCGAGTCCTGGAGTGAACATTAACTCCGAAATGCAGGTACGTCCAGTAGACGAATCCCAAATAAGGTGAAACGCGCGGGAAGCACCACTTCTCTGAAGATTGTGTATATGTCCTGAATTGATGAGTGGTTGCTAAGATGTCACCTAAGGCCAATGTATCCTGATGATCATTTTTGATCCTTTAGTATAGTTATGTATTTGAAGGGTTACTATGTCTGAAATAGATTTATCTTAAGTAAGCAGTGGTACGATCGCGGAAATATTTACAAATTCGAAATTCCCTGCATTTTCTGCCTATATTCTTTAACAAGTCGTTGTCATATCAAACATTCAAGTTGATCATCTGCATTTTATTACATCACATTACATTAGGTATTAATAAGGTATTTGGCACGATGAACCATTGAATATTGATGGTGATATTTCTGGGCGATTACATTTAACCGGATAGAGACAGGTGTGAAAACTGGACACTGCAAAGTTGCGCAATGACTGAATAGTTACAATCCTTAAAACCGTATAAAAAATATGACGAGAACGAAAATACATTCTTAAGAATAAGAATAACCAGGCTGGTTAATAATGTTTAATTGTCAGAATTTTGAAAGTGAGCTGAACAACTACGATTACATTTAAGTTGTTTTTTAAGGGTTTCAATCAGTTAGTCATCTACAACGTAGGACCAAGCACATAAATGCATCGGTCCAAGTTGCCATAATTTGTTAGCACAACAAGATGAATACCAAATCCATAGAAGTAGTTACTTCAATTGTAGTAATATACATATATATATATATAAGATTGCATATAAAAGAGGAAGAAAGGTATAAAGTAATTTGAATCTCATAGTTTAAGGTGTATATACCTACGCCATTGTGATCGATTCTGAGCCATGTCACGCAGAATCTCCAACCACTGGTTACGATAGTCGCGCGGACCCCAACCAAGTAGTCTGAATCTACCAACACGTCTAAGGGTTTCCAATCATATAATTAAAAGTATCCAAATGACTGCTTTCTCTTTCTTTAAACTAATCGGTCAGTAACCTAATGCATCAAATATATTTTAATCTAATCCTCTAAAGTCTTTTCTCCAATCCACTTCCACTTCACATCATAGTACACATCAGTGTTGGTGATCGATAAACATATTTAACAAGCTCATTATCCATCTCAGTATATACTAAGTTTACAACGTAATCGACCATTTTAATTTCAAATAGCCACCATATCGGCATTCCTTTAAAGATAACATCCTATTTTTGGAGAGTAGCATATAAGTACCGATAACCTGCTTTTGAATAACGCAGAAACTCCTACAATACAGCAAATATCCAAGTTCCTAAACATTTAAAAAGCAGCACCAGAAAAAACCAAGCCAACAACAAAAAGCAGAATATATGTAAAAAAAAGATCTAAAACAACACAACGAAATTAATAAATCTATATACTTTTTTAATAATTTTTTTAAAATATAATGATTACAGATAGCAACACTAAAGTTAATAGCTTACGTTGCCTTTTCCATTTAGTAAATCTTTACATACTTGAGACTCTAAGTATTCTCGATAGAGTTTTCGCTGATAATCAGTCAGTCGGCAAAACAAAACCTGGACAAAAAAAGACTGAGTGAAAAAAGGTTGTGGGAAATTTTAAGTGATTTAAGTATGCCGTCATTAGTGGAATTTAGGACATATGATAACAGAGGCTACACAAATGGAATCCTGTACATTTACAACAATACCATAAAATTATTTCCATCATAACCTATCATCAGTTAAATAACTTTCGATAATTTAGTTGGATCAAAACAGTTGTTGATGAAGAATTTTTTTAACAAGTATTAATTGATCATATAAAATAACCAGTCTTTAAATCTTTGGTGATAATTATACAAAAGTCACACTAGATCTATGGATTCTGATAAGTATTAATATTTATAACCGGAATTATAGATGAGGTATGTAATATTCAACAATAAAATAAATCAGCAACTCGTAAAAGTTTCGTGCACGAGGATGTAAACTACGACAATTGATTTAGTGCTAATTGTACTGAACGTTTGTTTGAATCTTGTTAAGCGGAACAGATTTATATTAACTAGTAGGTTGCTGGTTGAAATTGGAGTGATTAGTCCTACTAACCATAACTCATCTTCGAGTAAATAACTGAACAAAATTTAAAAACTCGTTTCACGATTATGAACATATACCGAAAATAGTCTGACCGATATCAGTCCTGAACATCAATCGGAAAGTCTAAACAATCAATATATATAAGGATTAAAATTAAAATTCACTCCACTGCAAAAGCCAGGGGCTATCTGAACTCAATAGCTAAGTGAATAACACGACGGCGTTTGAAGCAGAAGGTACTGGGTTGGATTAACTAACCATCAACTTTGAGATGCAGGTATATAAAGCTGACTAGTCCTAAATGGAATGAAACGCGCGTCCTGGATTACATTGCTAGCCATTATTGATCTCTGCTTATTCTAAATTCTTTCTCCACAAAATCTATACCTTTCAGAAGTGGAAAGTCCCGTGACCATAATTTTCATATCATAACTAATTCCTTGGAATGAACAAAACTTAGGTTATTAAATGGGAACTTGTATGTATCGGTGTAACAAATACAAGAATTGGGAAAAAAGTGACTAGTCAGTACCCAATATGGCAATATTTAGAACTTACTTGTTCTGATTTAGCTGGCAGTTGAATTTGTACATCAGCTTTAAGTCTTCGAATGAGATAGGGTTTTAAAAGATCTTGTAAAGTACATGCACATTGATAAGCTGTTTCCACCTTTACAGATTAAACAAGAAATAACACCAAAAGAAAGCGTTGAAAAGGATATTGTGAACATTGATGAAAGAGTTTAATGAGACGTGTGGTTACCTCAGACCTATAAGGGAAAACTAAATATATTATAAAACAGATTATTACGCACTTAGTTTGAATAAAACTAATGAATCTCAGTAACTGTTGAAATTTTATATCAAATAATCCAGTTATCAGAAACAATAAACTCAATTAACATAAGATGCTTACCTGAAGTGGTGAAGCGGTAGCATAACCTCCTTGAGTAATTGGTATAGAAAATTGTTGCATAAATTCTGGCAAAGGTCCTAATCGTCCAGGACACACAAAATCAAAAAGTGACCATAATTCACGTAGATTATTTTGAATTGGACTACCAGAAAGAATCAAACGATGAGGAGTGGAAAACTATAAAAATTTATGGGATTTGTATCAGTTGTTTTTGGAGGATGTAAGAACAATATACTTACATGTTTAACAGCTAATGTAGCCTCAGCTTCTGGATTTTTTATTTTATGCCCTTCATCCAGTATAACATACGACCAATTTCGAGATGTTAGCATATCACGATAAGTCACCAAAGTTGAATACGTGGTTAGAAGAACACTTCCTGGATTATTAGTTATCATTTGTATAAGTTTATTCTAAAATGAAAATATAAACGATAACATAAATCCAGATTGATAAACATAGCTTTAAAATAGTCATTTGAATATGACAAATCATTCATACAAAAACACAAGTTCATACAATCCGCCATGAGCCACAACTCTGTTGTGTGAAGATTAGTAATACAATCGGAATGTTGCAAGATTTTAAACTGCCATTAAGTGATTAAAAGTTAAGTGCTTTACCCATTAAGCAACTGTTGTACAACTTGGTTGCTAAGAAAGCATAAGAGTTATTCACTCAAATTAGGACATAAAATTAGTGGTAACGTGACAAGTTCATTTTTCTATTTTTTTTTGTGATGTTATGTATAATAATCATACACAATGTTATGTTAACCAATGTACTTTGAAAAGTATCATATTTAGCTATCCTTTACCACCCCTATATCAGAGAATTTAATGCCACTCAAAATATCCATTCAAATGTTTTGAAATCACGTTAAACCGTTCAGTACACCCATGTATTTTCAAAGTGTCGGTTATCTATATTTAAGTATGAATACGCTACAGAGACCATTTTACTTTTCCATAACTGTAGTTGTAATAAACACATTTTTGGAAAATTCTTCGTTTATTTCCCTTTCCCTTTCAATACTTCGTATTATGTGATGTAATTAAATAACCACATCTGTTAACGAGTAATATTTCTCGTTCCATGGCTTTTGAAATGATATTTTATCACTTAATGATTTCAAACACAACTCTCTAGCATGATTTAATTATTTTGAATCGACTCCCAGTTACGAATATAAGCACGACCGTAAGGCTACGAAATTGGAATCATAAAAAATAACTTTTAATATTTAGGGTTTGAGTACTTTAAACTTTAAGCTAAAAACGAGTGCAGTGTAAAATATACAAAAGTGTATAAGGTAGGGTATAAATTGAATATACTTTTTATTTTGAGGTTTTACCACATACAAATTATATCAAGTTACATTGAGTTCACTTACTGGCTTTCCATAGCCGGATCCAGTCGAATGCAATATGGCCACACGAATCGGAGGCCACCATGAATGAAGTTCTGACATCCACTGGTTTAATACAGTAGCTGGACAAACAATTAAGGTCGGACCTAATCCTAAAAATCTTTATATTATGGTAAAAGATGAAGAAGGTAACCCGATTAAAATACCCTGTAAAAAATATCTAACTTATAATCATTGTACAATGAAGATCAATATATTTATTTTCCAATATTCTTACTTATTTATTTTGGATTATTAAATCACAATCATATAATATTATATGTCCTACTAACTCACTATATGCTTGTTTGGATTATGATATATATTTTTACTTTCAATGAACACGATGAAAACACTTATTTTGTAAATCAGACGGTGGATAGCATTAACTACTTACAACTGTTCTGTTTTTTGAATTACCACAAAAGTTTTCTCATTTTTGTGAATTAAATTGACATTATAAGGGAGGTATACTACTCATCTTAACAAAATGATATTTAAGTGGAATTTACTCAAGGTTGTTCATACCTCTATTAAGAGTTTATAAACTAACAGTGGACTGACGATGGATTACTGATTAAAGCACTCAACTCAACTGAAACACTTACATCAGTACGAGCAGCAGATTAATATTACCAAACCTTACACAACTAACGTCTGGCTAGAAGGCGATTGCATAAACTTATTGCTTAATAAATGAGTTAATGATATGCATCAACAGTGTACAATTTTTTGTGAGTCAAAAAAGAAAATAGAATTATGTAAAACCTCTTCAAATCGTTATTGTATGCTTGCTGAAGATCATTTTTTCTAATAAATAGTGAAATATTTCATTGATAAATTTGAATTAAATATCACAGTGTGCTATTTCATGATTCGATTCTTTTATGTTACAGAATGATATGTATAAAAATATAACCTGTAATTGCCGAATCGTTAGTGTCGTAGTGATTATAGCAGTTAATTTCTGTTCTTCAGATACACCTACAGTGATCCATAGGTGAAAAACAAATTTAGTAAAGACTGAATAAACTAAGAGAAGAATACCAGAACTAAGGTTATATAAATATTGTTATAGTAGGTAAAAAAAATACTCCACACTGAGCACACTGATGTACATGATAAGTCTGAAAGAAATTAAAAGCTCACGATAATATTTCTAAAATTCATATTGCTTAATATTGTATTGATAAGTTCATACACAATAACATGAAAACACATTTCCATCGAGAAAATTAAGTAACGTGATCTATACAGTTGATATAGGTAAACTATGTTACCACTGGAGATACAATATTACCTAAAGTCCATAAATAGTAAGACAAGAATGATGAGGTTTAGGAATTTTCCGGTAACAACACAACCAATAAGTGTATTACATTCTAAGGAGAATAATGTAATTTGACTGGAAAACTATATTCAGTTTTCTCCCCTACAAAATACCAGAAAATTTCACACGCAACAGATGTATGAAAGCTGAACAAGTATCATTGAAGAAGAAAAGAAAATCCTTTTATTTAAATAAATGTTTTCATTTTTAGACGCTCATTTCACCGTAACTGATACTTTACATTATCGACAGTGTTTTATGGAAATGTATTCAGTGAAATTAAAACTGACCATATAAAAGATTCTCTTCAAGTTCTACAACCATATATATATATATATATATATATATATATATATATATATATATATATATATATATATATATATATATATATATATATTTCAACAAGTTATCTGTTTTTGTCTATTAATCGCATAACCTATTCAGGCGCGTTTATGAAAAGTTCACGACCTTTCACCATACAGGATAAAAGAAGGTACAATCAGAGACATCGTCGTGGCTGGCGATATGCAATAAAAAGAATGAACATTATTCAGATATCGATCCCTGAACTGCTGAAGTCTAACTAGCTATCACTCAATATTTATTGTCAGGATCATTTAGGAAATAAGAAAAGGAAACTTGTTGAAATACATTGTGCTGAGAATACTGTATTGTACCGAAAATATGATATTGAATAAAGCCATCAATAATAACAATAATAATAATAATGATAATACCAATAATAATGATAATAATAATGACAATAATAACAATAACAATGATAATAATAATAATAACCATAATAATAATAACAATAATAGGTATATAGTCGTAGAACACGAAGGGAATCTATTAAGAAAACATATTCTCCATTCATATATCTATGTTTTAATATGATGAGAATCTTTTTAGCGAATATAAAAGATTTGGAAAAAAAATAGTCGACCAATTATCTAATTAGAAACTCAAATGTTATAGCCACGATATTCTTCTCATATACACATAGAACACATCTGTATACAACCTATAAAACTTGTTTTATATAATCAGCATTAACTTATACATTTTGTGTAGGGAAGCTGCTAATAATACTATTCATTTGCATAAGCTGAAATATTTATGGCACAGTTTGAACTTTCAGCTTAATAATTGAAAAGTGTTTCAACCAATAAACCACCATTACACAAGACATTATATTTGAAAAATAATCTCAGAGACTGAAATTTAAATAATTCCAACGTTCCATCTAACAAACTTGTCTGGACTTCTTCAGTAAAATAATCAAAATCTTTGATAATTTTGACTATGATTATTACCCTTAAAAAGTCCAGACAAGTTTGTTAGACGAAATGTTGGAATTATTTCAATTTCTGAGATTATTTCAAACATAACTTTCACATATAGTGTCTTTTACATGGGCGGTACCCAATTTGTGTCAAACAATTCGTTCTAATATTGACGAATATTCGTATACACCATTTCACAAGTTTGTGTTAAGAATAGAGTATGATGGTCATAGATTTCATGGTTAAAAAAAGTTTATATTATGCTTGAGTTGTACTACTAACATGTAAAGTTATTCATTTTTGCATTGGTTGTTTGAATCTTTCCACTGATTGCAAGTGATCAGTCTACTTTTGGCATATGTGCATCCTGTGTTTATTGCCCCGATATGGCCAGTAGATCAAAATAGAATGGAACGCGTGTCCTGTATTTCACTGTTAGCCATTATCCATCTCAGCTCATGTACAGTATTTGTTTTTGGTCAATACACATACTATCATCTAATAGATTAGTGAAAAAAGGAAGGACGAATATACTGAAAATCGACTAGTAGGAACTCACTCTTGCTGATATTCCGAAGTTAGATTACGAGTAGATAGATATAAACGATACGATCTATCTTCTATGTTCGAATAATGCAATCCAGCTAGTAAGGCAATAATCTTGAAAATAATGAAAATGAGTCAAAATTAATCTAATTCAAGTTCACCCTGAATAAAATATCAACTTCGTTATAAATTAAGCAAATATCAATGTCGATAAAAACCATACTGCTCTACTAATACTACCATTTCGCACTAGAATCACATATCAACCCATAATGAATTTTATGTCAAAAGTAAAGCAGATCATATAGTGATTCAGACCTTTAAACAAAAAAAATGGATAGTATTCAGTAAAATATTGTTAATAGTTGTTAATGAACGCACTTAAGATTTGAACATGGGATTGAATTCTCTCCAGCGATTAATATATACCATAAAATTTGTATGCAAATAAAAAACCCTTAGTAAATGAAACCATAGAGCACATTCTGATGTTTTAATATCTTAATCTAATTAATCGAATATCAAATGATGGGTAGCAGATTCAAATCTACGGAATTAAATTCAGCGACAGCAATATAGTGGTATCTCACTTCTATATAATAAATTTCGGTTATTATTAAATGAACCTATACGTAACTAGTCACTAAATAATACCTATAAAAACTGGTACGACCAAAAGAGATAAATAGACAAAACCACCAAAGCAAACAATGAAAAATAATTTGTACACTAAATTCAGAAGCTAACCTGTATGGTTTTTCCCAGACCCATCTCATCTCCAATAATACCACCATATCCCTTTTGATGAAGATCCCATAACCATTTGACACCTTTTCGTTGATAATCAAATAATCGACACCAAACAGAACCCGGGACACAAAATCCACCATCTAGTTTTTCATCAGAAGGATTACTAGAAGGTACCTAAAATGAATTCATCTTTTTCTTAAGAAATTCGAGAACAATAGTAAGACGTACAGTATAGTAAATCTGATTAAAGTTATGCATTAGTTAAAATGAAAACTAGTTCAACGAAAAAAAGAACAGAAATATTGGTATTTGTAGAAGTAAACAACAGAAACGTTCAGTTCCAGATATATAGATTTTTTACATGACTTCAAACCATACTGTTTGTGTGGAGGATAGTGTATTAAGACCTAGTTCCTTAAATCAAAATACATGGGGTGGGCTTTGGCCCCATGGCCTAACAGTTAGGAGACCAATGTTGTAATGTATTATCTAACTCTCCATATAAGTTATCAATGGTTCCAAGTATGCATCATCATTTGAAGGGAGGAATACACTCACATAAATAAGCAAAGATGATAGTACTACAAGTTCAAACAAATCCACCCAAATTGAAATAAGCTATACTAAATCGCATAGAAATATGTGAAAGCTAAAAACTTAATAACTATAACAGCTTCCAAATTGACTATCATAACAAATTCGTAATTCAAATACAACACCGGAATGAATAGATATAGAAAAAGCGTGCGACCACTTATACGACCATGATATTAATGACTTGTTATCGTACATAAACAACAAATGAATACTTATTACATAAAATCCCACAAACAAAAACACTTTAACAGTCTCATGAAACCAGTTACTCATAATCACAATGACATTAGTAATAATAATAACAGTAATCCGAAAATGCAGACATAGAATTTTAGGACTATCATCAAACAATGCTTTTCATCTTCAAAAGAATACAAACCTTAGTCACAGGAACACAAGTTACTATCTCGAGATCTATAAAACACTTCTAATTACAACTTTCACTTCAGATTATCAGTAAAATATAACTACTCAACATTCTTGAAGTAGAGTAATCCTAATTTAAATATAACCACTAATCATTAGTAAACATTACGTGGGGGAAATTCTTCCATTGTACAGTAACTTCTCGAAGAACAAAAAATCTTAGAATATTCACCATCCATTTAGTAATTACTTACATAACTGACTGATGGTCTGATAACATAATAAAAACATCATGAGGTAATATGAACTCATTAAAAATGTATACAAAAGATACTAACCTCATGTTCTCTAGCTAATTGCTCCTCTAATAATTCAGTACGTCTTTGACGTCTCAATCGTTCCTGAAACGCATTTATATCAGCATCATCATTATGTTTAGATTTAGACAGCTTTTTCGGTTCCACAGCATTGTTTTCACAACGTTTTACTTTATATAACTTTGTACTGAGATGTTTTATAGGAGAATTAAAGTCATCTGCGGACAGTGGTTTCACGATATTCACACTTAGCAAATCTTCATCTGGTTCTAGTATTAAATTACGAAGGTAAAACGGGTAACTCTAAATGACGAAGATTAGTAGCGCATAATAACGATACAACAACTACAAAAACAAAATAATCCGATTTCAAAAACTAGTCCTGCAATTTGGTAGTAGAGAAATGTATCAGTCTAAGCAGATCAGTGTTAAAAAAAGTCTAATCTACAAGTACATTTAAATATCCAGCCAAAATGTAATATGTATTGCCAAAGTGTAGTTATTAACTAGACTACTATTAGTAATTATAGCGAACCCTTACAATCTAACTTTCAAGTATCTGTCATTTGCACTGTAAACTCTTATGACCGTATAATATTAAATTTCACAGCAAAAAGAGCCATTCGGACAGAATTCTACTCGATAGTTGTCTATTCAGTATTCTATAGAAGGGAACCCAAAGAATTCAGGAGAATACGAATATACACGTTGCCGTTTTTGTTGTCTTTATGTACGGAGTGTAAAACACTGAATTTTCTCTTCTGAAATGCAAGGCGCCACCATGTATTTACTATGGTAGGGAAATTTAAGTCAGAGATACTATTCTAGGCAGAAAAAATACAACTGATTTGAACACTTCAATATAAAGATAAGTTGTTTTTTCTCTATTGAAAAGAATCATATGTAATGTGGAAAAATTACCATAACTATACATTCAAAATAATCAAAATGAACATGCTTTGACTACATGTCTTGGTATATATTCGTATTTTGTAGTGTAAGATGCAGTTACTCGAAGAGCGTGCGATTACTTTCTAGTGACAAAAACTTGAATAAAATACTCACTTGAAACGTTGCCATCTGAAATAAAGTTGGCCTTCTCCAAAGAAGACAGTTTACTCAACAGAGCGGATTTTCTAGATAATAAAGTGTCAATAAGCTTCATCTACAAAAACAATAAACACTTTACGGAGAGTGGATCTTGCCTTTGTTTCTATCTCCAACTCTAAAGAACGTATTTTCCTATTTTCCAAACTGCTATTAGACACTTCAATAGACACCTGACCGAGCAGTGTATCAAGTGATAGTTCCATTTTTTCCAGTTCATGTTGAGCAGACCTGTGAGATGACAGATAAACAATATTAACATACATTATATCATCGTCTAGAGTAGAAAGTCTTTCTCTTGTCGCACTGATCTGAAGGCTGTTATTTCTCTTGAAAGTATTTTTAGCTTGCTCAATAACACCTTCATAGAAAAATAAAACAAGAATATGAACATACTTGTTTCAAATTCTAAGTGATCATATGCGACGATACGTTGAATTGAATTTACATCTTGATTCTCAGCTTTTTTTATTACATCCTTATTAATTGAGAATCTCATAGGATTATTCATACACTTTTTTGAGTTACTAGTTGATGAGCTGGGGTACGGATCTAAAGTACCCATGATCAAGGATCTAATGAAATATAAAGTAGATGTAAAATAAAACCGAATATCGACAGTATTACAAAGTGAAAAAAACCACTAGTATTTGCAATTAGTCAGTGTTAAATGAGAAAACACTATACATTTTAGTCTTTTGAGATATAAGATGCTAAATGTAACTATTTATCTAATTAACAAATGACAACGAAGGTGATAAGAGGCATATTTTAGATGCCCTCTGATATATCCTAAACATCCAGACCGAAATAGATTTAGAAAATCTGAACACGTGACCCGACGATTATAGCATTGAATTTTACGAACGACTATTAATTTACTAGAAAAATATTTAGCCAATAAATAGAACATAGTTGTTTAGGAAATCGAAAAATAGGATGGAACTTTTTTTCGAATATTTCTTAGTGGAGTTTGCCGCTTTTAAATGCTGTTCGAAACCGTTCACCTATTCTCTGTACATCAATACTACTGTCTTAGCAGTAGACCCTAATCTCCCAAGTTTGGGGAAACCTCCCAAGCCAAACGACCTTCAGCAAAGTTTAGAGAAACGTTTGGGGAAATCCCCGAAGCCAAATGACCGTCACCAAGGTTAAAAGGAAATTTTGGGGAAATATTGGGGTTTCGGTGCCATTTCTCCAAAATTTCCCCAAGCTTCTTTGGCGGCTTCCTCAAATTTCTGCCAAAATCAAGACACCGTTATATAATGATGTCAGAAAAGTTATTTTATACACTTAACGCAAAAACAATGTATCCACATCAAAGATTAAGTTTCGATAAATTTATGCATTCATCTACGGTCGTTTAGTGAAAATCAACATAGATCCTAACTCAAACGTGCGTTTATCCAACTCACCATACCACATTAGCACAACGGGATAAGACTAACAAGGCGAGTAATAAAAGAGTTGAGGCAATGTATCAGTGACGATAATGAGACTGAACACCTTTATATAAAGATGTATTGCTTCTGTATACATAAAGTAATTTGATAAGTTGAGGACTCATTTTTACAGAAAAATGATAACCCAGGGTCAAATATAGGGTATTGATCTGATTTCTTTCATATAAAATAGATCTGACGACTTAGCCCTATGCCTCCCCTGTGTAACAACCCAATTGAAAAACCCGCCAGTATTTCAGTCTTCAGTAACTTGGATAGTAGGTTAGTGAACCTATGTTGATCCTGAAAGATTGCCTTCCAATGAAGGTTCAACTCGTCCTCGAAATTTTTCATTGATGGGGCTGATATCAATTGTTCGGGTAAGGCGTTTCAGTCATTAACTACTGGATGAGAAAAACGGGAACCCCCCGTTAAGCTTATTAGATCGCGGTTTGTGAACCTTCTTGCTATGATCTTGGACATTTTTAGTGCTGTAGGGAACAATAAGATAAGACATACTGACACCCAAATCATAATAAAAGATACGAAATGCTAGTATAAGATCACCTCGCGTCCCACTATACGACAAGGGGGAAAGATTTATGCGCTTTGAAAGCTCATCATACAATGTGATCACTATTCGCTAGTGGGGAAAGGTGCTGAATGTCGATGGCATCCTCACAGTAGTGTGTGGGGACAAAGTCCAGCAATGGCGGGTCATGTTTCAAGTCAATATGTGTAAGTTTTGCGATGCATTGTACAAGTGCACAATGGATAATGGTTGATAGAAAGTCGCTATCGAAAACCCAACCGGAAGCTGTTAACTCTATTCAGTTGATATGCGGTGCGTTGAAGTCTCTAATAATGACACAACATTCTACTTTACTCCAAGAATAAATGTGTCTAAAAATAAAGTCGTCAGCAAAACAACACGGACTACGGCATATTTCCCCAGTAGTCACTAACCCGTTTCTAGACTTCATTGTACAACATCCTACCTCACATGTACCACTTTCAGAGCCTCTAATACGACTGAATAAATACGAAAATGATCCCTAACGTATAACATTATGCCTCCTCCAATGCGACTTAAAACTAACCCTTCTAACACAAATCTAGCCTATAATGATGGGAGAACAGTATATATCTACGGTGAGCCAATTTTTTGCGACAACGATTATATCGGGAATTAACTCTTCTACCATCAAACTTTATTTCGAAGACCATGGGCGTCCGTGTAGCATATATGGTCCGGCAACATGCAACAGAAAATTAGGTAACCAAAAATAAGTCTTTAATCAGATTCACATAATAAAGGCTCAAACGGGGAAGACTGAAGAACAAAATACATGGTTAAACGAAATCGGAACAAGGGTTAAAATGCACAAAAGGGGAGAAGGAACAAATAAATGACAATACTGTTCAATAAAGAAGCTGCAGAGGGATTTTCACTGTTCTCTTTCCGTTACACCGGCCCCCAAAATCCCTCAAACTACGCAAAGACACCTTAGAATACATTTCTGCCATGGCTTTCCTTAATAACTGCTATATATCAATGGGAAGCATAGGACTTACAACAGTACGCCTGTACATCCATAAACCTACAATCTACAATTACTCGGCTCCCTCTAAAAGGCAGAGCTTTTGCACATCTCTTCTTAATACACCTTCTCTCATTAGCACCATTACTGTTCTTACTAACCCACCTCTATCTGTCTCGTACTTATCAACCCGTCCCATTGGCCATGAGCTCCGAGTAGTTGTATCGTTAGCCACTAGAACTACATCACCTTCTTTTAAGTTTCTGTGTTTGGAAAACCATTTCTGCATCACCTGCAGTAAAGGAATGTACTCTTTTATCCATCGCCGCCAGAAGGTATTGGCTAAACAATTAACCTGTCTCCATCGCTTTGAATACCTATCCGCAATATTACACTCCATTCCTAAACCATCACAGTCTCTTAGTAATAACAAAGTGTTTGGCGTGAGCGCCAAATCATCCTTTTCACCTAATGTCACAGGAACGATTGGGCGGTTGTTTAAAATTCGTTTTATCTCCACAAAGTAAGCTTTTAAAATATCATCGCGTAAGATTTGCCCGTTGGAAATAGATAGTAAGATCCTCCGAACAGACCTTATTAATCTCTCCTAAACTCCGCCTCGATGGCTAGCTAGTGGGGGGTTGAAATGCCAGCGTATACCCTTCGATGCTGTTAAGTCGTTTATTCTATGCTTGTCCCACACACTCATATTAGCTCGTAATTCGGAAGTAGCCCCGACAAAGTTAGTTCCATTGTCGATATAGATTTCCTTAGGAGTTCCTCTCCTTTCTATGAAACGTATTAAAGCCATTATAAAAGCATCAGTACTCAAATTGAAAGCTAATTCCAAATGTACGTGTTTGGAGACGCGTGAATAGGCATCCATATCTTTTTTCCTCACTTCTTCCCCGACGAACTATAAAAGGCCCAAAATAGTCTATCCCGACGGAGGAGAAGCAAAACCAGCCTTGCTACACTCGACACTTGGAGAGAGGTGCCATCATCTGTTGGCCTAATGTGGCTTTCGCGCGTATACACCTCACACATCCACCTATCACTTGTTTAACTGCACTGGTTTCTTTAACAATCCAATAATTTCGTCGTATGGTAGCTAACACTTGTGATGTCCCGGTGTGGCCTTCTAGATAGTGGTGGTGTCTAATAATAAGTTCTGTCACGAAGTGATGACTGGGTAAAATTACCGGAAGTCTGACTGAGAGTGGATAACCCGAGCAATTTAATCATCCGCCGACACAAAGCAACCCATCGATTAGCGTAGGTGAAAGATTTTTTAGCTCTTTCATACCAGTTGCGCTTACGCCATTGCATCGATACACTTTTACTGCTTCCCCATGCACTTACTTTTGCACTAGGGCTAATACCTTGTGTTTAGCTTCATCCAATTCATCAACTGACAGATAGCCCACATTTAGGGACCTGTCATCGTGATGAGAGTACATGATGGTTATATAGGTCACGTATCTTCTGAGCCATGCTACCGCTTTAATCAGCTTTATCCAATTTGAGTGATATAGCAGAATTGAACTTAAGCTATGTTTTAGCGCAACTGCGTTGGTCGTGTGACATCTTTTAAATTCAATATTTTCCGGGGGATTTTCGCACATAAGCGTCAGTGTTCCTACAGACTCCCTCTTCTTTAAGAAGGAAGGACCCTCAATTCAGTTCTTTAAATCTAGCTCCTTCCGTATACCTCGTGATGTCCAGTCAGCAGGATTTTCATTGCATTCAACAAGCCCCCACTGGTCCACAGATGTTAAATGATGAATAGTGGCCAGACGATTAGCCATGAAGGTGGAATACCTACTATCTGTATTTTTTATATAGTACAGAACTATCATAGAATCCGTCCAGAAGTGAGTCTTGTCAAACACATGAGGAAGGTTCCTATTTAAAACTTTCCCCATTCTAGCACTCAATACTGCCACTGCTAGTTGCAGTCTTGTCACAGTTACCTGTTTTATAGATGCCACTCTAGACTTACTACAGAGTAAAACGCTGTATGGTGCATTGTGCTTAGGGATGTTACACCGTAACCAAATTCCGAGGCGTCACAAAATAAATGCAGCTCAATCGCCTTAAAGTTCTTTCTGTTTTCATTTATGATGCTTTGAAGAACACTGATCGTTCCGAGCTTCCGCACAAACGTGACCCATTCGTTCTACGAGAACACAACACTGTCACTCGGACGCTGTTCCCAACCGATACGCGTTTTACAAAGATTCTGTAAGACGTGTTTAGCAGGAAGGTATATTGGAGCTATTAGGCCCAGTGGATCGAAAAGAGATGAAATGGTGGATAGTATTCCTCTTCTAGTCGGAGTTTTTTCCCCTGGATCAAAACGAAAATTAAAAACATCGTGTGTGGTGTCCCATTCAATCCCGGGGGCTCGATGTGTCGGCCCTTGATTCAGAGGCATATTAACTATCGCTCACATATTATCAAATTGCGGAAAAACTTTCCTTACCATCTCTGAATTAGTCACTCATTTTTTCAACTTGAAACATCCTAGAGCCATCAATTCATTTAGTTGTACCATAAACCTTTTCGCATCTTCATCATCGGGAAAGGATACTAGGCAATCATCCACATAAAAGTTGTTCAGTATCGACTCCCCTACGCTGCTATCATAGTCACTGGAGAATTTTTGAGCCGTCTTCATCAATGCGAAGTTTGCACAGAAGGGTGAGGATATTGCCCTGAAGTGGTGTGATGTCATCTGATACTCGACTGGCTCCTTCTCTATATCACTCTTCGGCCACCAAAGGAAACGTAGCGTTCCACAATCGGGCTTCGAGACCTTTACTCGCATGAACATTTCTTCCACATCCGCGGAAACGGCAACCGGTTCCCTGCGGAAACGTAACAGGATCCCAACTAAACATGCTGTAGTATCTGGACCTTGGTAGAGAAGGTCATTCAAGGATTTACCAGCCACCTTAGCGGCACAATCCAATACCAGTCTCACTCTGCTTGGTTTTTGGGGTTAATCCCTGCATGATGGGGCAAGTACCATTTTGGACGATAACCCGGATCGAGTTGCATACCTGGAACCACAACCGCATACCCTTTGTCAATCGTCTGGAGCGCGGCACAAGTGTAGCTTTCCCGAAAGTCCTTATTGCATGTGTAGAATCCAAACTATGGTTTGGATAGATGAATAGCCGTCCAGGTACGTTAGACACGCGCCCTTGCCCGTCAAAATCAAAACAAGTAATCGGGTAAATAGCGGTTCTATAATTCATCATAAATTTAAATGTAAATCGTTACCTAAACAAATATTACCACCCGGCCATTCAACCAATAATTGTTCAATCAATCAAATCTAAACTACATAAAATAAAGTTGATAAAAGATGTGGGAAAATTACCAGTCACAACAAATAAACACTATTCTATCCTGACTGCATAGATCACACACAGAAGGAGGAGCAAATCAATATGGCTGACGCCAAGAACAAGTGTCAAGTAAAACAACGTGGATATAGTTCGGGAGGAAGCACAAAAACTTAGTGAAGGTGTAATGAAAATAAAAACTTGTGATAAAATACAAATATTAACAATCCAAACGTAATCAAAAAACTAACAATGTACACTAAGGGGATCAATAGGAACAAAGTGCAAGTATATACATGGAGGGATTTTCACAAACACACGAGGCATTCAAAACAGATCTTACACCGGCCCCCAAAATCCCTCCATATCACACAAGCTACCTTGATGTCTATGGTCATGGTTCATTATGTGGCATATGACACTAGAGGAACGAGTAGGACTTACAGCAGTACGCTTACTCGACCTACTTACATTGATATGCGAGGAATTAATTCGACCCTTCAAGGAGACATAATCTACGTATATCTCTTCTGACTAATCCGCCGTTCGTACGAACAACCACTGTTCTAACTCTTCCGTCGTGATCTATTTTACAATCTTCAACTACTCCTAAGGGCCACTTTCCACGGATCGATATGTCCGAAGCCACGATCACTACGTCCCCTTTTTGAAAATTGCGGTGTTCAACTAACCACTTTTGACGTTTTTGTAGGGACGGTAAATACTCTCTTAACCACCTTTTCCAAAACACATTAGGAAGATGATTAACCTGTTTCCAACGTTTGTCATATTTATCTCTGATGCTACCTTCTTCAACTATTCCGTCACATTCTCTCAATAATAACAAACTGTTCGGCGACAAGGCTAGTTTATCGTTAGCATCTTGGACGACCGGAGTTATGGGTCGATCGTTCAATATCCTTTTAATCTCAATCAAATAAGTGCTTAAGGTCTCATCGGTTAAAATTTTCTCTCTAGTTATCAATAATAACAGTCGGCGTATGGACCTAATCATCCTTTCCCAGACTCCACCCCTGTGGCTAGATGAGGGCGGGTTAAAATGCCATTGAATCTGCCTAGCTGACAGTTCTTTGTTTATTTTCTGTTGATTCAACTGTTGCACAAATCTCCTTAATTCAGAGACCGCACCCACGAAATTTGACCCATTGTCACTGTAAATTTCGGCAGGCTTCCCTCTTCTTCCAATAAAACGTAACAGTGCCATTATAAACGAATCAGTATTCAAACTATATGCCATTTCAATATGTACTGCTCGGGTTTGCAAGCAGGTAAATACACATCCATATCTTTTTTCTAGTGATCTACCTCTTTTGACAATTAAGGGTCCAAAGTAGTCTACTCCAACTGCTGAGGAGCTATACCATCCTTGCTGAACTCTACAAGCTAGAAGTGGCACCATCAACTGTTGCCCTTTATTCATCGTAAACCGCCGGCAAGTCATACACTTTCCTATCACTCTCCTAACCGTGCTGGTTCCTTTTATTATCCAATACGTTTTTCGAATCGTGGCCAGTACTTAGGACGTTCCTGTGTGCCCTTGTTCCTTATGATAATGTCTAATTATCAGTTCTGTCACTAAGTGGCGGCTGGGCAATATAATTGGATGTTTAAAGGCATCTGGGACATCTGAGTAGTTTAGCCGACCTCCAACACAGAGTAACCCATCCAGCATTATCGGAGATAAACCCTTCAGATCATTGTGACTAACTACTTTACCATTGTTTTTAATTCCATTAAGTATTTCTCCGTACACTTCTTTCTGAACCATCAATAAAATTTTAAGCTTGGTGATGTCAAGCTCTTTGACCTTTAAACATCCTAGATGAACGGAACCTTCATGGCTCGATGAACGAAGTACCATCAGGAATACTATGAACCTTCTAAGCCATGCTACGACCCTGACTAATTTCAACCACTCAGAATAATAAGAGAGAATAGGTGACATGTTGTACTTTACACTACTCAAGTTAACCACAGCAGTTTTTCTAAACTCAATATCGTCAGTAGTAGGTTCCGGACAATCAGTAATTGCTGTACAAAATTCGCCACACAGTAAGGTAGGACATTTGAACCAAAGCTCAAGATCTGACATTTTTTGTATACCTCTCGAAGTCCAATCAGCTGGATTTTGTGACGACTTTACATAACTCCATTGTTCAATTTTCGTATACTGATGCACAATGGCGAGGCGGTTAGCTATATAGGTACTATGGAGATTCCCGATATTCTTGATGTAGTACAACACTACCATGGAATCTGTATGGAAGTTTACCTTATAGAAAAATTAGGCAGACTTCTCTGTAGGACTTCACCAAGACTCACACTTAACACTGCGGCTGCCATCTCTAGCCTCGGTATAGTGACCTGTTTGATAGGTCCTACCCTAGACTTGCTGTACAACAAAATACAATAGGGTCGTTCCTTCAAATAGCTGACTCGTGCGTACGCGACTGCTCCATAACCGATCTCTGAAGCGTCACTTAACAGGTGCAATTCTACTTCCGCGTCGAGTTCGTCAGTTCTCTTCTTGATACCCCTAGCTACCGTAACATGACCTATTTGACGCATAAAATTTACCCAATTTAGCCAATCCGACCTGAATGGCTCGATGAGAGGCTGATCATAGCCTAATTAGGACTTACATAGCTTTTGCAAAAGAACCTTAGCAGTAAGACAGACTGGAGCAATTAAACCCAAAGGATCGAACAGAGAAGAAACTATAGATAGAATCCCTCTCCTAGTCACAGGCCTCTCAGGTGCATCGAAGTAAAACTTGAATACATCTTGTTTAAAATCCCATTCTAATCCTAGATTTCGGTGAGTGGTGTCATAACTCGTTGACATTTTTATCAAAGACTCTTCCTTGCATACCTCAGGCAAGATGGTCCATACTTCCTCCGAGTTGGTGAACCACTTCTTTAGTTTACAACCTCCTCTACATAATAATTCACTTATCTGCTTAACGAAATTCTTTGCTTGATCACAAGTAGGAAAGGATATTAAGCAATCATCAACATAGAAATTATTCTTGACAGCATCTGCAACATAACCATCATACCCATCAGAGAACATTTGGGCCGTCTTATTCAAGGCGAAGTTTGCACAAAACAGCGATGATGTGGCGCCAAATGGATGAGATGTCATTTGAAACTCAGATGGTTCCGTCGACATTTCTCCCTCCTGCCACCACAGAAATCTTAAGGCTCCTCGATCAGACTCAGGGACCTTCACTTGCATGAACATTTCTTCAACATCTGCAGAGATTGCAACTGCTTCCTTGCGAAAACGCAATAATATACACACTAACTCAACAGTGGTGTCGGGTCCTTGATAAATCATATCGTTTAGGGAAACACCTGAAAACTTGGCGGCGCAGTCAAAGACCACTCTCAGTTTCTCTGGATTTTTCGGGTTTAAAACTGCATGGTGATGTAAGTACCACCGGGGGCGATAACTAGGTTGCAACTGTATTTCAGGGATCTTCTCCGCATAGCCCTTAATAAAATTACTTTCAATACCATTTGTATACTTGATATACAGAATGTCATCTTTCAACAATCTACGCCTCAAACTCTGTAGTCTACTGTTTGCCACTTCATAATTCCCCCTTCCATATTTGGGTGCACTTTCCATGGTATAGGGACTACAAAATGACCATTTTCGAAGCGTGTGCCACCTTCCACAATCCTTATAGCCGTCTTGTCGTCTACTGATAATGATTTATCAATGGAATAAACATCAGAAAACTATACATCATAAAGTTTACGTATTTCGTTCTCCAAAGTCTGTAATTTACTGGTATGATTAACCACTCTCTTCCTATATTCCGAATATGACGCAGGTCCAAAAACCGTCCACCCAGCAACGTTTTCACAGCGTACGGGTTCTTCCTTCCACCCAACCGTTGGTATAACACCCAATGTGCTTCGGGTACGTCGCAACCAATCAACAGTAAAACTTCTTCAGAGTCTAGGCTATCTATTGGCACATCACTTAAATGCGGCCACTTAACTAGGTTGTTCATTGCTGACTTTGTTGGCTTATGACCTGGTATACGTGCTACAATCAGAGCTCCTTCAATCGTATCATGTTCAGATCGATCTAAAGAATATACCTCGAAAGGCGCACTCGTGACCTTCATTGTTCTATCACCGCCCACAGTCTCAACTACCACTGATGCTTGGTCTCCGCTCAGCCAGAGAGACCTCAAACAGTTTGATTTTATCAGTGTCACATCAGAACCGTTGTCCAATAGAGCATAACCCACAATCTCGGCTTTTTGCGATTTCAACCGTACGGGAATCATTCCTAAACACACTTGACTGATTAGTGACTTAGTATATCCGCAACAATTCGAGATACCAGGTTTATCATTTTCGCTGTGCAGCAAAGAATGGTGTTTCTTCTCACAACCATTAACGTTACAACGTTTTGCCAGCTTACATTCATTGACTTTATGCCCTTGCCTAAGGCAGACGAAACAAATGCCATTAACTTTTGCGTGAGACCATCTCTCTTGAACGGTAAGCGCTAAAAATCTTGGACATTTAAAGATAGCATGGTCCTGGGAACACACACTGCATTTAGTCCTTTCTCTCGAATTATTCTCCTGTTCCAATTGTAAGTGACAATTGGTCTTTAAGTTGTGTCCCTTTCTCGGACGATTCGCTAACCGTCCAAACCTACTATTAGCTACTCTCGCGCGGGATGCTATAAATTGGGTAAGCTCGTTAAACATCGGTTCTCTATTATCTTCCGTCAATTCATCAACCCAGTCCGCCCACTGGGCTTGCATAACTTGAGGTAAGAGTTTTACTATTCTCCCCAAAGTAATTAGAGAATTTAAGTTGGCCGTATACTTCATCTGATTCAAAACCATAGAACAATCTTCCATCCTTATAGCTAGATTTGTCAGTTGCTCAGGATCACTGTGATCAACATTTGCAGTTTTGAATAAGTCCTCTAAAGTTTTCCGAGCAATTACATGCGCCTGCCCGAACAACCGTTTTAGAATTTCTTTGGCCTTCTTGTAACCAGAAGAGGCTTCCAACATAACACAACCCTCAATGGCTGTATTCGCTTTACCTTTACAATAATGTATTAAATAGAGCAAGCGTTGACCATCATCCTTGACCCTCGATTCGACGTAAGTCTCGAACTCCCTTAAAAACTTCCAATAACCTCTTGGTTGACCGTCGAAATAACTTAACTCAACCCTTGGTAGTTCTAGACCAACAACAGGCGTAATGGGCAAAACGCTCTTTTCTGTTGATTCAAGCCCTTGCTTCTCCTTTAAACTAAAATTTTTCACGTCATCTGTCATCGAATTAAGACTAGAGTCACTACCATGATGATCAACCCTATTCGAGTATGGACCATGACACTTAAGGACATCAAAAGGTACTTGCTTGATAATAGTGGATTCTTCATGAACATCAACGAACTTTGAGTTTGATTTCCTTCGACGATTAGTTGGCATCATAAGCGAAATGACCAAATATTTCCAGAAACGATAATCAAAATCCGCAAACGGTTGCCAAACGACTTCGACCAATTAATATTTGTTTAGAACTGTAGAATCCAAACTACGGTTTGGATAGATGAATAGCCGTCCAGGTACGTCAGACACGCGCCCTTGCCCGTCAAAATCAAAACAAGTAATCGGGTAAATAGCGGTTCTATAATTCATCATAAATTTAAATGTAAATCGTTACCTAAACAAATATTACCACCCGGCCATTCAACCAATAATTGTTCAATCAATCAAATCTAAACTACATAAAATAAAGTTGATAAAAGATGTGGGAAAATTACCAGTCACAACAAATAAACACTATTCTATCCTGACTGCATAGATCACACACAGAAGGAGGAGCAAATCAATATGGCTGACGCCAAGAACAAGTGTCAAGTAAAACAACGTGGATATAGTTCGGGAGGAAGCACAAAAACTTAGTGAAGGTGTAATGAAAATAAAAACTTGTGATAAAATACAAATATTAACAATCCAAACGTAATCAAAAAACTAACAATGTACACTAAGGGGATCAATAGGAACAAAGTGCAAGTGTATACATGGAGGGATTTTCACAAACACACGAGGCATTCAAAACAGATCTTACAGCATGTTAGTCTACGTCTTAGACTTTCTAATCGTCGTCTAGCTAGATCATAGCTACCGGAGACTACATTTCTCTCCACCCTCCAAGGTAAAGGGACAACCCAATGACCCTCGTCAAACTAAGTGTCGCGCTCTACTATGCCAACTGCTTTTAAGTCATTTAAAGACAATGCTTTATCGGAGGAGTGCACGTCAGCAAATTCGTAGTTATATATTTCCTTTAGCTGCTCTACAGGGTTGTCAGATTGAGACATATAATTTTCCATCTTTTTACTGTTTTTGCTAAAGCCTACCTGTTCAAACAGAACCCATCCTAGGAGTGTCTTAATAGCATATGGGCTTTTCCTTCCACCCAATCTTTTATCTGGGACCCAATGCGCTTCAGGCACGTCACAACCATTAAGCAACATAACTTCACCATCCACCGATTCTGTCCAAGGTAAGTCAATAAGATGAGGCCATTTCCTGGCGCTGTCCTTCACAGGTACTCTTGTTCGATGCACCGGCAGATCATCTACTACAACAGCCTGTTCAATACATATACATTCGTTTCCGTTCAATGAGTAAGCTTTAGAGGCTTTGGTTGTCGATCTGCATAACTTATTTCCGTTGACCGTTTTGATAATAATCGACGCACTATCTGACGATAATCCTAAACGTCGTACGGCACTTGACTTGATTAGGGTTATATCTGAGCCATTGTCTGGAAACGCATATCCAGAAACTTCCTTGTCCCCAGCTCTAAGGCGTACAGGGATTAGACCAAGAAATACATCCTCTTTTAATGACTCTGTGTACCCATCATGACTTTCTTTTAAGCACTTACTCGAACGACTCTGAACTCGGATGGTTTTATGCAACAATGGGTGATGCCGATCCCGACAACCTTTGACAGTACACACAACACGATCTTTACAATCCACCGATCTATGGCCCCTTCGAAGACAACAAAAGCACAAGCCTTTTTCTCTTGCTTTCGCCCACTTATCGCTGACTGATAAGGTCAAGAACTGGAAACATTTATCCACGATATAACTTTCTCCGCATGTAACACAAGGTGACTTGCTAACGACTTTATCGAACGACAAACCTTGTGTGGAACAGACCACCTTGCTTACAGCTCGTTTACTAGCAATTACAATCTGTCCGAATCTGCTGAGCAAAATTTCCGCTCTAGACGATACAAATTCTGTTACCTCAGCAAAAGTAGGCTCTCTTCCATTTGCGTTTACCTTTCCTACTGTTTCAACTCATCTCATCTGAGTAATTTCTTTACTATACTTTCTATTGTTACTACGGAGTTGAGATCCGCTGAATAATCCATTTGCTCTAAGGTTATAAAACAGTTTTTCATCTTTATAGCTAGTCTAGATAGACTTTCTGCGTCATTATGCGCAATATCAGGACCTTCAGTTAACTCTTTCATTAAAGCCTGACTTATTTCGTGTTTTCTTCCGAAAAACCGTCTCAGTATATCGCACGCTCTACGATGACCCGACGATGGTGGAAGCATTATGCATTCCTCTATGGCCTCTCGAGCTTTTCCTTTACAATAATGTAACAAGTACAAGAGCCGTTGACCATCGTCTTTAACCTTGGAAACCACATATAACTCAAATCGTCTAATAAATTTCCAGTATTTAGCTGGTTGCCCATCAAATGTACTTAGCTCTACCTTTGGAAGTTCAAGACCTACACTTAGAGATTCCAAGGTCACTTCCTTCTTCTTCTTCGTTCTTGGATAATCTAGCAGTTTTGACTTTTCTGGAGACTTTATCCTAAGGTCATAAGAAGGGCTTACGAATGTACCAACGTGCTCCTGTTTTCTGTCATCACAGTTAGAGGCAGAAGATAACTTGTTACAAGTGCTTTCGTTCAGCCCCAAAGACCCAAACTCTCTCTGAAAGCACAGTAGTTGTTTTCTCTGTCTATCTTTCAAGTTTCGCATTTCTAATAATTGTCTTTCTTTCAACTCTGCTAAGATAATCGTAGAGCTAATTTTGCTGTGTCTACTTACTAAACTAACATTAGAGCCATGACATGAAATGCATCTTATTTGACTTGCCATGCATCTAGAGATGCATCCAATTGAATTTCTCCGTCGCCCAATGCCAATATATCGTTGATGGCTTAGAACTTTAAAATTACCTAAAGAAATTATCTGAATGGTCTCAAACCTCGCATTTGCCGATAAGTACTTCCAAGTGTGTTGTAATGCATATCGGTCATCAAAGTACATATACATACACGATGAATAACACTGAGCTACCTGTCGTACAGACACATAATGACTTAGGGGTCATCGTTATCCAAGACTTAAAGACTACTGCACACTGCTGTGCAATAGACACCAGAGGTTTTAGAACGTTATGGTCAATGCGTAGGGCTTTTAGTCGTGTCGACGCCAGAACGTTTTTGACTTTGTATACAGTGTTCGTACGCCCTGAACTTGAGTACTGCATACAAGCATCTAGCCCCTGCTTAAAAAAGACAGTGAGCTTCTGGAAAATGTTCAGAGAAAAACAACTAAGCTGATTCCCGGAATGGCAAAGCTTTCATATGATGCTCGACTGGCCATGCTATAACTGAAGGCGACTTGATGACAGCTTTCAAATTGCTTAGTGATAAATTTGCACCTGATATGCCCTCATTTTTCTTGTCTTCCAAAACAGAATTTGCATGGACACTCCAAAAAAGTTCACAAACCCAGAACAAATTACTTATCAGCTGATTATCGACTTTCCCATTGAATCACCAACGAGTGGAATTCATTACCTCAGCCCGTGGTTAAGGCTCCATCCGTCGACTCTTTCAAAATAAGGTTGGATCAACTGAGAGACCACTATTGCCAGGACTAACACATACCATCGAGCCTCCTGTCCCTACCAAACTGAAACTGTTGTTGGACTGGAAGTATGTCCGGTGACGGAACCACTCTTGACTCTGTATGTATGTTAACAATAAAAGGTTACTATTCGCGACCGAAATGTTGATCACAAGCATTCCTGAGTTCTACTAATAAATGTACATCGGAAGTACTACAATAAAGACTATGGAACTATTTATAAATTGCTCAAACACAGCTGGGTTTGAGGTCTCAAATTTCTTTACTGGTTTCAAAGTAGTTTTCAGAACGATTAATTCTATATTCACTATTACCCGAGCTCCCAATTTTGCGGAAAATTCGGCAAATTTTAGGGAAGCCGCTATAGTAAACGTTGGGGAAATTTTGGAAAATGTCACAAGAACAACGAAATTTCCCCAAACTCTAAGGAAAGCTGTTTCACTTTGGGGATTTCCCCGAAATTTCACCACAGTTGGGAGCTTGGGTGCATAAGCTAAATCATAAGTAATTCTTTTAGCTAAAATAAAAACTATTCTTAATATTAGGAATCAAATTTTATTCATTCAAAATGATGATTCCGACTGTGCAAAAACACTGAGGATGATACAGGTATTCAGTGTTTGACAACGCTTCTACCAGTAACACCTTCTAATATGCCTTGTTCCCACCGAGAGAAATCAAAAGACAGAGTCGAGGAGATCGGAAGAGTGTATTTGGCGATAACCAATATATCGGTAATCTCTGATCTAATCTGGCTAGTGATTGCGGTAGATGTTGAGCACAGCGTTACAGCACGTGATCTGGTGCGGATGCATGACCGAGCGCCTTCAGCTAGATGAGTCCACTAAAACATATGGTCAGCATCCAATGTCGAAAACCTATAGAGCTATTTAGTTTGGGGATTTATTTACCGCTACAGATCACTCCCCCCCTAGTGGGGCAGTGATGACCCTAAGACGTGGCCAGCCAGAAGTTTAAACCCAACGAGTTTGTCGTTGGTAAACACTCTTCTGATAGCTTACTAAATTTAGCCGCGTCTGGTCGTCTTTCCTTACTATATGGGACCGGAGTACAACATAGTAAAAAAAGAAATGTACAATGAAAATTTCGTATCCTCATAAACGTCATCGTTCTTTTCCAGCCGTCCTGGAAAAGAAGAAAGAAAATGTAAGTGCATGTCGAAAATACACTCGTATGTGCGTAAAAAAGGAAAATAAACTCGTAAAATCGTTTTTTTTTGGAAATAGAAATGAAAATATATAAGCCTATTTAAAAAAAATTATTTTTTAATAATATAGAAAATGTCGAGAAGTGCCTTACGTGCAATAGTCGTTAAAATGTTCTGGAAATCTCACTCTTCTTCCAGAACGCGTCGTTTTAAGTTTATTTTCGGATACTGTCGAAGTATCATCGTGTGTGTTGATTGTCGGATGAGGCAATATAAGTGTCGGAGTCGTGTCGTTCAATTGTACCGAAGGAAAATCCACGTAGATAGGATTTCCTTCTAAATACGCTGCTTTGAGGCGATCGATGCTGATGCTATCGTTGGTTCCGTTTTTATCGATTATATAGTACTTCGGTTCGCGTTGAAGAACTTTGAAAGGTCCTTCGTATGCTGATTCGAATGGTCGTCGATGCGAGACTCGACGAACGAAAACGTGTGTACTATATCGTAAGTCAGGTTGAATGAAAACATCAGTTGATTGAGGTCGAGTGGGAGCAGGTTTAACTGAACGCATTGCGTTTGTAAGCCTGTTCGTGTAGGAGGTT